AACAGTGTTCTTATTCTTCAAAAATTTTACATTATGATTATATGATCTAGTTGAACGACTTCAGTTTAGGTAGTTGTATCTAAAGCGGGTGGCTTGATTGCTTTACGGAAAACGCCATAAACAAATGACTCATTAACTGATAGATGAATACAGTCCACTCTTTTACAACTTCGACAGATTTGCTCTGAAAGCACAGGGGCGACTCATGTTATCAGTTGATTCAATAATGTACCTTGCGATTTGCAAGTAAAACGAAAAAAAAACAAGAAAGGAAAATGAATAAACACAAAATGATCAAACTTTATTCCACACTCAAATAAAAGTTTCGAAAAAAAACACTGAAAGCGATCATTCAAAAGATGTGGGGATATGCTTTGCCACTCATCGAATCTTTCCATAGCACACACAGGATTGTCTCTTGGACGAAGTTCAATGAAGGATAACAATGAGAATAGAATAGTACCAAAAGATGTTGTTCTAGTCCAATAATTGGTAGAAAATGAACTTCCCTGACAGGTTAGGTATTAGAAAACAAGTGAATGTACGAAAAAAACAATGATCTCTAATCAGAACAGTCGTCGTTTGTATCAAAATAGATTTTCCACTCTGATAAATAGCAAAACCAAAAATGTTATTCCAGACATGATGATACCTGAGACATAACGAGCTCTATCCTCTGCAACAGTTCTTTTCGAGAAACTAGAAATTGCTCTAAAGCCTGAAGACAATCGGATGCAGACAGGGAATGGCAAGGTAAATGTTGCCGTTTGTTCAGTACCCGTTGGTAATCAACATCCTGTTGTTGTTGGAGCCTGGTGAGTAGCCTGAGAAGAAACGGACGCAAGCACTGAGACAGCATATCTTCATCCATTTCGTATAACTTATTACGATCCATTTGTGATAATACATCGTCCAAACAATTCGCATTCTCAATTACGGTATTTAAATGTAATAAAAGAAGTAAGTGCAATGATGGGCCGGTTCGGGTGAAACAAACAGTAGACCAAATGCGCAAGGCACCATGGGTAACCATTCCCGTAAGGTCCAGAAAGGACACGATTCTGTCCAACCGATTGTCATCGGAGATGGATAAAACGCATTCCAGATCGGCAGAGCTCGGGTAAACAGCATCATTAGGGTTTTCGTCCATGCTTAAGCTGAACCCGTACTCCAGAAGCAAAGTGAGATTGTCGTGAGAACCGTAGTTGATGAAAACCTATCAGCAGAAAATGCATTAGGGAGGTGGAAGAAGGAATGCGAACAGAGAAGTGTGGTTGATTTACTGCTCGGAAATGATATAAGATACAAAGATTTTCGATTATAAACAAATAGAATGCCCAAATTTTTGTTTGGCAGATTTGAAGTTTGTCGACTGTGAGAAGTTCAGTAGCCTCGGTGGGATTCGAACCCACAATCGACATACAAACTTCAAATCTACCAAACAACAACTTGAACAATTAACCTTGTCTTAGAAGCTCATTCGGTGAACTCCGGTGAATTCTAAGGAAAACCTGTAGGGGTAGTCAGCTGACATACCAACTGGTGGATGCCACATGACTCTGTAAGTTGGATGGGTATATTCGAATGTGAAAAGATCACCGCTGTCGGTGTGGTCTGGTAGCTCAGCTGGTAGAGCGTGCGCGTACTTAGCGTAGGCGGCGTCCATGCGTAGGTTCGAATCCCACCGCGGCTACTGAACTTTTCACAATCGACATACAAATAGAATGCCGACATGCATATTGGTCTCAAAACACGTGCTTCAATTTGGTCCTTCAAGTTGGCGGAATGTTCACCGTGGGATTTTACATTTATCCGTTGGCCAATAAACTTGACATACCGATTCAGGTTCTTGATCCCCGATCAATGTTAGATTCAGTAACCGTTACAGAAACCTAGGAAGAGCTTCACAGTTTCGCTCCCTTTATGCACGATAAGCAAGACTGAAATCAATACACATTACCAGTTTCAGTTTTTACAACCATTAACCATACACTTTCCTACGCCCGTTTTGGTTACCCATTGGGATAAAAGAACAGAACGCAGATTGGAATGTTGAGAACAAATTCAAAGGGAAGACAGAGAATTTATATAGACTGCGATTGCAAGAATATTGAGTAGATGCATGAGCGACACTCCACCATATCACCCAGTGGCTCTGACCACCCGTAACCGTAATACCGTGTTCCCCAACCAGGAAGCTTAATGCGACCTATATGACCGAGTCTCCTGGTTAGAGTTTTTATACCCTCATGCCAGGTCTTCGTTTGACGGTCCTTGACCTTTTTCTACCCCATACTATCCTGGGCAAACATCGCTCGCCGTGGCAACCTATTTGGTGACATACGCAGCAATGTCCTAACCACCGAAATGTATAGAAACTGACCATTTGCTCCGCGTTTGCCGAAAACTCTACACCCCAGGATTGCTCGTCCGGTTACCCCACCCGACTCGTTCAGTGCGATATAAACAGAACACTGATAATCTATTTTTATCCTGTTCCCGAAATAGCCAAGTCTCTGCACGATAGAGCATAACTGACCGAACTGCTGCAGGGCACACTCGACTCTTCACAGACAGCCGGATGTCGCGACGGCTACACAGATGTCTCAAGTTAGCACATGCCGACCGAGCCTTCGTTATGCGTGCCGACACTTCGTCCGTGACGCGTCCGCCAGGTGAGATATAGCTGACCAGAGAGCGAAATTTATCTACCTCCTCTATTATTTCTTCAGTCAGGGTGAGTTTTGGAGGTGAACCAACTCAATCAATAGGAACATTTTACATATTGAAGGTGCAATACGCATACGAAACATAGGTACACGAACACTTACATCCTGCACTGCTCTCATGTGACTTCTTATATTCTCTGTTTAAGATATCCATCGCAATCGAAAGATTCATTTATCAATAACTGAGTGATATAACAAGTTGATCTATAGCGAACCGAAAGTTTACCAACTTAACTAGCCGCATGAAACAGTTTACTCAAACTGATCGAATTAGTAGTGTGACACAATTCGTTTACAATAGTTCAGCCCAATGACATACGTAGTTAATTTTTTCTTTATTGATTTGAACTGATTATCCTTCGAACTTCAACTTTACGCACAATCCTCAGTTCATCGATTCAACCATACACAANTGATACCTGAACAATCATGAATTGGCAATTCGGCTCAGCCATGATTTGAGCTGGTTGGCACATTGATAACGCACATGCCGTTCATGCGATAAGTCTGGGGTTGAGATCCTGGACGGAGCGGTGGATATGCACTAAGAGCGAAACTTCAGTCTAGTAATTTCCAGTGTATGATTAAATCGACAAATTAAGAATTGTGCATGAGGGTGAAGTCCGAAGAATAGTCAGTTAAATCAATAAAAATCAATTATCCCACGCCACTACTCACAAGTAACTGTGAGTTAAAATGCGAATAAGTAAAGTTCACGGAGGGACAGGACGTTAGCTAAGCATGAAAGTAGATGGAACAAGTACATGTTGCACAACAACAACTCGAACAACGAATTGATCAATGGAAGGATGCATTCGATAGTTTACGGCTGTCTCACCTGCTCACCAGCGGAAATCGGTTGATCCACGAACAGTTGAACCATTCTCTCAGGAGTGTTTACAACCAGTCGGCAAGTCACACCAGGATTATGATTCAAAAAGTCAAAGAATGGAATGAGCGCCACATCTGAAGTTCCGTGTGATGTCATCTCCAACCAGCGATCTGAGCACGGAGTGTCCGTATTGATTTCCAAATGCTTTGTAAACCGCTCCGGTCGTTCTTGATCAAATGAGGTCAGTGGACAATAGACACATCGGGAATTGATGGAACACCAGGCCCAAACAAATTTCGCTGGAGGAAATTCCTGGTGTGACGAAGAACTAGGAATCATTTTCCGAACTTGATGCCAAGATTTATGAAGTCTCTCGAGAACCCGATTGAAATGGGCATTCAAGTCTGCACTATCGAATGCTGTAGGACAGTGTTTTGGATACAAAAGCGATCCAAATATAGGATCCGAATAAGCTCTCGGGAGTGCATGAAAATACGATTGCCAAATGCTGTACAGAGGGCATGTGGTTGTTAGGCTAGCGTGGTAAAGAAAAAGAACTAAACAGTCCAGCGGTTCCAATGTCTGTTTTGAAGGTTTTACAAAACATCCACATCTTTGTATGTATTCCACACATCGAATCGGAGTGAGAATGAGACGAGGATCTTCGATAGGTATTGACAGACAACAGGAATTAGCCGGAATAGGGACCTGACTCACTAACCCACGACCACCTTTACCAACATTGGTGGCGATACGTAGCAGGGAGAAACCTGTCTTCGGTTGTGCACCGTCAATCCATCGTATAAAGTCCTCAACCTGTGTATTCTTGTGCATATCCACATTTACAACGGTCCCGTCATCGGATCAAAACCGGAATGTCTCCGTGGTGTGAAGCTAGCATTGAATGAAGGGTCCGTCTATCGTCATATTTAGCCAGGGAATACTGAATACAGGAGAGATTACCCTTCGGATCTATAAAGAAAAAGCAAAGGCTTTCAGTAGGAAAACAAAGAACGAAAAAATAACACAAGAAAATAACTACCAGTAAGACGAAAAGCCGGTTGTTGACCAGTATGGTGAAGCGAATCATCTATTAGTACAGAACAAATAGCAAACAGAGTCCTTTATTGAAAGCCCATTAATTTAGTGTTATTGTATGCATCCTAAATTGAAGAAAGATAACCAGCTTCATTATATGCACCTTATAAAAACAGCAAATATGCACGTCAATACATTAGTTTGGAGGTTAAAACACCAACATTACCGGGCGGTGGTGGCCCGGTGGTAACGTTTCCAATTATCACCTCGGAGGACGTGTATTTGAGTTCCACCAACACCGCCTGTTTTCCCCATTATGTATTATATGGCAGTCCTTGGATTGGCCGCTTCCCCGTTCCTGAAAAATTGTATCTTCGTACACCCAATAAAAGAAAGAGAAACTGATAAAAGATTACGACGATGTTATGCAATCACCGGGCTCACGTTGAGCTCCAAATTGCAAAATCGAAATTTGGGATAGTTGTTGAAATTAAATTATGTCATCTTCTTATTACATATTTCAGGAGTAACAGTAAATAGAAGGGACTAAACTCAGATGCATGTGAACTAGGGGATCGGAAATGCAATTAGGTAACCTAATTCGTGCTTTCAGTGAGGAACCTCGTAGCTACCAGGTAGCATAGGGAGCCATTTCAAGATAGAGGTATGGAATACGAGCAATATAGGAGAAGCAGACCCATAAATACCTCTCGATTTGTGTTTATTGAGAGATAAATCTACAATCGATTATCAGTAAGGGTAAATGGTCCAACCTAGAGGTATCTGGGTGAAATAAAATGCAGTGAAGAAGTTAAAAAAACAACAGTAAAGCTGGAGCCAAGGATGACGGAGCTGATGAGGCGATGCTGTTCAATGCCCTTGGTCATACCCCATATTGCCTCCAACAAATGACTAATCCGAGCACTTTATTTCGAACCTGAAGACGCAGAACAACTTATATGAGAACGTTCAGTGGTTGAGATGATCATACATAGCAGTTAGGCATGGTTGTCCGTGATCTTTTTTCAATCATAACATAACTCGAGAAACCGAACACGCCGATAAAGCTTACCCGGTTGCGTACCCAAACCACCTGAATTTTCAGTGATGATGCAACTGATTAAGTTCAAGATCGAGGCTACCTAACATTCTACGCATAGGCTCGGTACTGACTATCTGATTATCCGACAAAACTGCAGTATTTGAGAATAAAATTTATGCTGGCTGTAATATCATCAAAAAGCTCGACATCCAGGATCCGCAAAACACAATTCAGCTTGACATCAATCGGGATTGGTTTCGTACAGGGTATGGATTCAGAGTGGTGCGAAACATGATTATCAGAAAAATGTATTGTCTAATCTGTGGATATTTCTGAAGCACAAGGTGAAACTAGTAACCTGAGGATATACGCATACCAGTACGACTGGAGTATCAAAGCGACACGCTGCGAAACTGTATTTCAAAATGGATGTACTGGAAGTGAAAGGGGAGACTGAAACGGAACAACATTCAACAGGTTTTCAGTTCTTGGTAAAAAAAAATGATTGGAAGTTAGCAGTGCGACACCTAACATAGGTTATCAGTTGTTGGTGCATCTACATTGAAGAATAAGTGGATGGGTGACTGAAGAGGAGAATTCAGCCGAACAAAACACCAAAGTCACAGCGGGTTCATGTTTAGCTCGGGTACCTGGGGCCTCACGTTGAAGCCGATTGACTGGAGAGAGAAGTGGAAGAATGAATCCATAAATAAAAATGATATTTCATTGCTCATATACATCACGCTGTCGAGTAAATCATGATACAGGAGGTATTAGGTGGTAAATAAATGCAAATATTGGTTTGAACTGATTATCATTCGTACTTCAACTTCACGCACAAGCCTCAGTTCATCCATACACTCGGAAAGCACT